GTCCATGGCGACGTGACTTTTGCTAGGAATGTAGTTAAGCTCGCTATTCAGAGCGGGGTCATCTGGCTGTATCGCCTTTCATTATTCACCGTTTACCGCCGAAACTCCCAGTCTATGGGACTTTACTACTGTCCCTGGCCCTTATCAGAAGGCTGCTTTGTATCAACAGGTTATTGAAGCTCCCCTCATTGTTAGCGCTACCAACGCCCTTATCTCAATCCGCTGGGCAGAATGGAGGTGTCTTTCTAACCCCATTTTCACCGTATTCGGCCCTTTCCGAGATATGAACACGAAGTAAGATACGAATATGAAGGCTATCCTCATAAATGAGTAATCCACTCTTCCGATAATGGCTCCCTCAATTTCAAAATATTTCGTTGTTGAGAACTGTTTTCTTGTGATCTCTATTGGTAACCTTCGCCAAACCTAGTATATAATAACAAGTATATAGTATATCAAATCACAACTATTTTCGGTTGACCATCTCAACAAACGCTAAACTATTAGGCCGTTACTTCAGACTTCATTTTCTACATTGCAGTGAATTGACAGAGCGATCAAAGCTAACTCTTAAAGACAGCACGATTAATACCAGCAAATGATTACCTCACCACAGATTATTGGTTGACCAAGCCAAAGTCACTGACTATGACACGCATGTACTGCTGATCAATCGCGTACAGCCAACGCTGTACGCGATGATCAGCAGTACATGCGTGTCAACATCGCTAATATTAGGTTGTCTCAAAAGTTCGTGCATATTCTCTCTTCTCTCTCTTCATATTTTTGTACATCACTTTGACCCTACTTTACAGTCGAGATCCGAAAGTTGGGGTAGGCGTGTCACCGGAAGTGACGTGCACTTGATAGAAGTTGCGTGGATAAGCTGTTGCCAGCATGCTTTGCTGATATCCAGCGATGTATGTTGGAAGCAGCTTATCCACATAGATTCTATCAAGTGCACGTCACTTCCGGTGACACGCCTACCCCAACTTACGGATCTCGAGTATATTTTAAGAACATGCACTATCTAACATCAATACATGCACCATCATTATCAGACTTGTTACCGCCGACCAACCGGAGGGTGGCTGCCGAACTCCCAGAACGCTAGCAGCTACGAGCTGAAAAAGGCAGCGAGGTGTCTGTGGGAGTCGCATATTTTGGCCGCAAAGTGTTTGCTGAACAAGAAGAGCAGACGTCTTCCGAAAGAAGGCCGATCACCGCTACACGTGGGATACTACGAGGCCCTTCAACTCAGCTTTGATATCTAGAGTCGCGTCCTTTTCACAACGCGTGGCACGATTGTCAGTAAACGGACATACTTTTTTGAGATTTAAGGACAGTGATCACAATAGACTTTACTGACTTCATAGCTGTGACGAGGGAGCAGTTCTCTGTGATTAACTCGAAAACGCTCAAAAGAGGCGGAGCACGACCTTGTGGTGAATTTCTTCACTTTTCACCCTCTTCTGTTCGATCTAGTCCCTGGGATTCTAGGTGTGGTTGTCATGGAACCTGAGCTTCTCAACTGTAGCGCTTTGCTCAATCAGTGCGTACGCGTGGACTAGGAAACAAATTGCAGTCAAAACACGTGCCGTATTCTTTTCACATGTGGTCAGTTCAAGAGAATTTTGACAAAGCTTTATCCCTTCTACGAAGAAGCGAGAATAGTGCATCTGAAACATTAGAGTGTTGTGACCACATAGCAGGTTGCCCCATGTAGATCGGCTTTCACGAGAGAGCGCAGTCTGTCCAAATCCGACACCGATGGCCGTCCTGGAAGAGGGTTATTATCCCGACTGTACCCTAATTTCCGACAGATGAGCCCACACCGATATCACGTTAAACCACCTCCGCTGGGCACTTGCATACATCTAGACAGCTGTTATTCCTCCACAGGGGTAATTCGATATGCTGCTACGAAGAAAACATTAATTTTCAGCGGTGGCGCCATCTGGCGCCAGTTGGCGTCACCTTGTCACGACCCTTGTTTTCACCAAAATCGGTGTAAACTTCTGTATAGGGGTTATTTGGTGCCCTGATTACGAATATGACATTCGTTTTTGGCATTAACGTTGTTCAACGCATATTTCTCGGTTGGAGAGCGCAGACGAGCAGAAATAGGCGCCAAATAGCGCCAGCGCCGAGAATGAATGTCATATTCGTAATCAGGACACCAAATAACCCCCTATACGGAAGTTTACACCAAATTTGGTGGAAACAGGTGTCGTGACAAGGTGACGCAAACTGGCGCCAAATGGCGCAACCGTTAAAGGAATCTTCCGCGGAAAAAGCTCCGCCTCCATTACCACAGAAAAACGATACCCCTTAGGCCCCTAGCCTCATGAGCATAGCAAAAAGAACGGAACATAAGCGTTAGTTTCGATAATACTAATCCTACACACAAGACAAAATGATCACTCTTTCCGTGGAAGATTCCTTTAAGGTATCGTTTTCTGTGGTAATGAGGGCGGAGCTTTTTCCGTGATCGAATTACTCCTATAAAATTTACAGTAGTTTCTAGTATATACAAAATTTACACCGTATGAGAGTGTGAGAGTTTTTACGTGGCATCGGCGCGGGCTTATTTATCGGAAATTAGGGTAGTCTCCTAAGCAAAGAAGATCCATCCACTCTGATACCTAATGACCGTCAAAGACAAAGAGACGTATTGCAAAGCAGATGTTACTTCCGCCTTTAGTCGGTTTTTGACTCAGTAGAGATTCTTGAGTAAGAGCTTGAAAAAGGTGGCTCTATTCTTCCTTTCTTTTTTTTCTCACTTCTAAGTCGAAGAAGGCGACTAGCATGAGCAAGATTTGGTTAAATGCCACTGTACATAGTGCCCTCTCCAAAGCCTACGTAACATAATTGGAATTTGGTGAGGGAGCTTGTGGCATGAGATCCAAAAAAATGCACGAACTTTTGGGCAACCTAATCTGATCGTATTGCCTCCATGAGTTCATTACAACTTTCCCTCGGTTTCGGCTTAATAATGAGAGCCTCCAGCATCTTCCTCTCCAACGAGCCTTCTTCGATCGGCGCAGCACAGTGAGTTTCATAGATAGGGGCGATTCTTGAACGTGAAAAAGTGTACGACGCTGTGAAGAACCACTGTTCGCTTGAGGCGAGAAATTTTTAATGTACGCACACGTTCACGTACAATGGAGCGCAAATCACACAAAGAAAGGCCAGCGTTGCGCGTTACTTCTATAAACATATAGAAGAAGAAACCACAATAAGCGAGTACTGCATTTTTCAAATCACGTTTCGGAAAAGAAAGCAGTATCAAACCGTTCTACAGGTATAATGACATCATATGTATTGACGCAACACGTGTTGTATTGAAAGGCCGTCCTCCAGAAGATGATTACATTAATGCCAGTTGGATGACTATGCCTGATGGACAAAAGTATATCTGCACACAGGCATGTTTACTACGTTACCTTACGTTTCAATAAGTATACTAACTTCTCTTAGAGAGGAGTACGTAATCCAAATTGGAGAAAGGCCAAGAAATGAATATGAAGCTGCTACAAAACCGCGCGAAATGCACTAGAACAAAGCATTTCATGACCACCAACAACTCATGTTTAAAGTGAGGCCTGACAGAATGAATGAAACCAATTGAGAACTGCATAAGCTAGACACATGACACAAGCCGAAACAATTCCACCTACCACATATTCCTGTGCAACGCGGCACTCATCAGCCATCGTTGTCAATAGCACCCACCCATCATTCACAACCCCGTACCTCCACTTATATGAAGATAGGCCCTCCCATGGTGAGGTCGGGACGTGTGCCCCTGCGCGCTGGATATGAGCCACTGCCCGCTTGCTTGGTAGTTTGACATCCTTTGTTTTGGGCCAAGCCGAAACAATTCCACCTACCACATATTCCTGTGCAACGCGGCACTCATCAGCCATCGTTGTCAATAGCACCCACCCATCATTCACAACCCCGTACCTCCACTTATATGAAGATAGGTCCTCCCATGGTGAGGTCGGGACGTGTGCCCCTGCGCGCTGGATATGAGCCACTGCCCGCTTGCTTGGTAGTTTGACATCCTTTGTTTTGGGCATGTCTGCCCTTGTTTGATGGCGACCAAGGAGTTTTTGGGTGTTCCCGAAATTGCGTCCTAATGCTGAAACGCTTCCATACGGTGTACATACCAAATCAATGAGAACACAATGCGGAAACTGCTGAAACATCATTTGTCTCGTACAAATGCTTAATGGCTGCAAACCAAGCAAAAATCTCCCCGTCCCGCAAAGGTGAAACTTCGGAACGCTCTCGGAAAATTCCAATTTTCCACTGTAGAATCCACAAATGAGGTTGAACACAAATCTCTTTTTTGCCAATTGTTGTATCATTGAGCTAGCTAATAGCATACAAAAAGGCAGCTTTCTACATCAAGAAAGAACAACCTTATCACTGAAGAAGCAATTCCAAGCAACCCTTCTGTAAAACTTTCACTGTGAAAGATGTTCAAAGAACGTGGCCATTACAAGTTTGACAACGTATTCCGGGTTAATATAGCACCGCTCAAAATTTGGAATATGCGCGAAGGAATAAAATTCAAGGGTTGATGTCGAAAATGTGTTGATATACAACTTACCATACCACCCGCCTTGGGTTAGCTTTATCGGTTCCAATTCTTCCACGCCATACATTACTTAAAAGTCACAGTGGTCACGATAATTCTCATAGGGACGATAAGGAAGCTGTGTACTGGAGTGGATAGGGGTCCTGCCCAATGTTACAACACGTGAAGTTTCAGTGGCAGTGGCGCCTTATCAACGGAGTGATAAGGCGCCGAAATCCACTTCCGTTCAGCAAAAACCAAGACTTATCGATGTGGAAAGGGGTGCGATAAGAGCGTGCTAGATATGATACCGTTATCGTTATCGTCCGTTTTCATTCTGGAGTGCACCTCTTATCTTAGCAGCCGCATCTCCTTATCTTATGATATCGTATCTTCTAGGGGGTAACGAACATAATCTATCTCAGACCTTATCGGTTGATAACGCGAGGGTAGCAAATCCAGCGTGGAAGCCAGCGTAGTCGCTTCCCTTAAGGGCATAACCCAAGCAGAGAAGGTTTGAACCACCCGCTTTTGCTGTAGAATACTTCTAGAGAGCAATCAGAGGAGTGGCCTTCCAGTGTACGAAAATCACTTGACAAGGGCGCTAGGGCCTGGCGAAGTTAGTTGGAGGAGCTCCAGTTTCCCCGTCCGCAGCCGGCGTTTCACGCCTCTTTCGTCTTGTGCGCCTGTCGCCTCATACACTTCCCTCTGCGCTCATAGGGAAAGGCTCCCAGGTCGCCATGGCCATTCAAGAAGAGATGTATACCACTAGATGTGCCTTTGAACGCTGATCTCAAATCTACCTTCCAAATCTGCTAAACGATTCTCTGAACGGAGTTATGAAGCAAAACAGCGCAACGGTAGTGGTCGGGACTCAGTCAAAATGTCGTAAGATCGGTCCCTTATGGTAGCTACTGTTTTGCATTTTTTTTGCAAAGGAAAACATTAAACACGATAGGGACCGATCCTACGACGTTTTGACTGTGATCCCGACCACTACCGTTGCGCTGTTTTGCTTCATAACTCCATTCAGAGAATCGTTTAGCAGATTTGGAAGGTAGATTTGAGATCAGCGTTCAAAGGAACATCTAATGTTTCACATCCCTTCTTAGCATAGCCGCATTAGGCCGACGTCATAGTTTGCGAATCGAGCGATTCGCTAGCGAATCGCTGGATCCGAGCGTTGCGCCAGCGAATCGAACGTTGCACCAGCGAATCGAACTTTGCACCAGCGAGTCGAACGATGTACCAGCGAGTCGAACGATGTACCAGCGACTCAATAGTGGCGGGACCCAACGTTCAAAGGAAGCCCGCACTTTCAAACAGTGTCACGTGACAGTGGACATTTTGAAAGTGGCGGGGCTTGACAATGGACACTGTTCGAAAGTACTGTACGCACTGATACTTTTACATTCGTGTGCAAAAACAACACCAGTTTGATCGTGGGCATGCCTTTATATTGTAAGAAGCTTCCTTTGATTCGAACCACTGACGGTTAGAATTAAGGGCCCTCTGCTTGAATTCGTTGGTGATTTTTGGCACATGGTCACATCTGAGAAGAGTAATGTTATCGTCATGTTGTGCAACTTCAATGAAGGTACCTCTTGATGCTTACAGGAGAAGTTTGATTGCCACATTTGCTATTTATTTTCATTAGCTCTTTGAGTGAATTCGGCTGTTTTATATCGCCTACCTTCAATCAGTTCATCAAATTTTAATACTTGAAACATACCGAGATTTGAACTGATTGATTCAGCAGAAAAAAAGTCGAGAAAGCATTCCACCTAAGACATTTGACCGCTAATGAACGTACATCTTAGTACAAGTGAGAAGCTGTGAATGAACTCTCAACTTTGTTTGTGTTTTCAATAGGTCATGCGTCAATTTATGGTGTGGAAGCTTACAGTAGCAGCCAGAAGTGTAGCTAACACGATTTTCCGAAAGCTCCATTCGTGAAATCTTGAAGATCGATCATGAATTTGAACTTGGATGTCTTATCCCTTAGAACTCAATGAGTCAAAAGGAATGGGAGGTCTACATGTCATTCTAAAGGGAACTAGTTACTTGAGAAGAAAAAATGCACGAGTAACCGTTCCGGCAAAGACTTCTGACAGCAACTGTATATATGCGCACCTCTTCCCATTTCAGGGCATATTGGCACGGATGTGGCCTAATCTACACAAGGTCAGCATACATAGTGAGGAAAGGATATGGGCACGCAATGATGTAAAGAAACGATTATTAGAACGATGATGAAAACCGACAAGATGTTTCTAGAAGAGACTAGTGAATCTGAGTAGCCGCACTCAGTACTATTCGTAACGTTCTCTGCCATCTTTGACTGTTCTGATGTGTCCGTGCTTGAGCTTATAATAATGGAATCCTGACTTCGGCGCTGTGCAGCTGCCCTGCCAATTCTTGCCTAATGGTCGCTCTGTTTGGTAGAAAACAGTTTGCTTTGCGTTGCTCCGGTGTTCGTTGGCTCCAATTGAAGAAATCGCAGAGAGCACAGTGGACTCCCTCCACTTCATTCATGCTGAATTTATCTGGGCTTTTAATATTTAGCTCACTCTACCGTGGGCTTCTAGCTCGCGCACATTGCGGCCCACAATGGGTGGGCTCTGCACATTCTTCATGTCTACGAAATTCAATTTTCCAAGCAGTCCTGGGTTCACGCCACGGTCTTCCCGAATTTTGCACCTCTACTGGAGCGTTTCTCTGAAGTCATGGTGCTCTCGTCAGCCTTCTGAGTGGTCAGTGCCCACTTCAAGAGTCTATTCTCATGAATCAGAAGTTAGCGAGGAAGAAATAGGATTAGCTCTTATTCCTGATCCACCTTAACAATTTTCTGCCTCCTATGTACGTGGAAAGCTTTGGCTGACTAAACCTCTCATACGCATCCTTTGCTAGACAGGTCCCGTGTTCTGGCAAGACTTTCCCTGAGCGCCCTCCACAGTAGTGGCCGGGAGGTCTGTCAACCACCCAAGATTGTGGAAATCATGGTAGCTGCATCTATGTTTTTTTTCTTCTCGATACATCCATCACTTTTCTATTCTCTCCAAGGGTGAAACTCCAGTTCGGGGGGCCACTCCATTGCTATCTTATCCGTAGTACTAGAGAGCAGTTTTTTGGACTATCAAACACTACGGATAAGATAATAAGTGAA